CCTTTTCTTTAAATAACTACTTAAGTTAAGTTAAGTTAAATAAACAACATAACGCTTTAGAATTGTGTTTATTCCGTTGTTTGTATGACATATCCAATAGTACATCTCTCTCTGTCTAACGTACACAGCACAGCAGAACGGATCGGAACGATATACGAGTAGCTTTAATGGTAACTGGTAAATATGTTGTTTGAATGGTATGAAATTTAGTAACCCGATAATCTGTTATTTTCAATTTGTTAAATTGTGAGTTTTTCGTGACGGTCGTAGAAAAAGTATATTATGCAACATGTTTGGTAAACTCTTATTTCACTCGTTTATTAAGCACTCGCTCCGCTCGTGCCAAATAAACTCATGAGTCACCACACTTGTTGCATAATATACTATTGTCGGTCCAACTTTGGCAGTTTGGGAGATATTTAAGCGTTCCCGTACTTTTTATTAACCCGGTATACGTACATGATATGCTTGGTACGTTCAAAAATGGTATTAAAAAGTCGTCTGCCGAAGATAACTAAAAAATTTAAGTTCAATTAGAATATTTTCGTGAGTTATATTTTAATAAATAATAAAATCGGTATCCCTAAATCGTTTTATTCGTTTTTCTGTTTTCAAACTATCACAAAAATGTTGCTTTCGGTCTCGCAATCGATACGAAGAAATCGAAAACAAAAAGCCGGTAAATACGGTGTTTTGCGTCGATTTGCTTAAATCGAAACGGTACGGCAAGTTTTTTCACATCGGTGGCAGAATAAATCTACCTGATGTTGCGAATGAGTCATAATAATCATCCAGACGAATGGTAGACATCGATGCCGGTTCCTTCAGCGTTGAAAGTATCTTTCACCGGCAATGAGTCAACACGACGTTGCCAGTTATCCTAGAGCTCGAAAGAATTATCAACAATTTGGCAATAACACCTCAAGTGCGATTGATTTAAAATTAGTTACCGGCAACTGTAAGTTACTGCCACCAATGAGACGGTAGTACGGTAAGTGAAATCGTTCGTTACTACTTTTAATTTTTAACTAACGGCAACTCTGGTCGTTGAGAAGAAAAAAAACAGACCAGTAAAAGTAATGGTCAAGGCCAACAGCCTCTCATCTAGCGTCAGTTTCGACCCAAACGAATACAATGCGAAAAAATAGTCACTGTCAAGCGACTGATTCACCTGACCATAATTCTGTTATTATTCCTTTACAGGCTTTATGTTCATTCAAGCTACCTGTATTTATTTACAATTCCCCCATATAAGTAGATCCCAAACGTAATGTTTGTATTCTCTTTTCTTCCATTCTCGTTCGCTTTCCCGTTTTTCTTTTTTACCGACCGTGGCCACCTGATTAGTATTTATCGAACCCAGATGGGGCAGGTATCTTATTCGACTGTATTTTTAATATATGTTTCTTATGTTGGTTTGGCGGTTGTTTGATAAAATCTGCCGAAGGAAACTTTGTTTAGCGGATGTAGAGGTAACTGACATTTTTGTTTTGCTCTGTTAATTAATCTGACAAAACGCTTTAAGTGGTGTGAAGGCATAGAACAAAATTTATATTATTCATATCTTTATTTCCACGTTATACATTTTGCTGTAAAATAGGATACAGTAGTACTATCAAAAAATATTTAAATGGGGAATTTCAGTAATGAATTTAGCCACAGGTGCTTATCCGCCCTGCTCTACTCATCAAAAATAAAAAACAACAATATTTTTGGCATAGCATACGTGAATCCTGTCAATTATTAATTTATAGCAGCTACTCCTCTGTGCTAGTGATATCCATAGTTATTGTATTGTCTGCTAAAATAATATCGAAAAATGTGACGTTGAAATTTTACGAGAGGAAGAAATTTAAAAAATATAAAACTTATCTCAAAAAAGGAAGACCTGTGGCGAGGTGACCTAGATATAATTCTGTTATTACTATTCTGGGGTTTTATAAACAATATTCGATGATAAAAACGAACTAAATGTTTTTTATTCTATTCTCCACATTCAGCATTTCGCGTCTGTAAGTTTGTATGATATCCTCTTAAATTTTTGGTTTTGGTATATGAGACGAAGACTAGAATTTTGAGCTTTCTGTATGGTGTTCTTTTGTGCATCGCTTAGACAATCATCATCATAAATACAAGGGAGTCACATAACATTTTTTTAAATCTCATTGATAGAACCAGGTGACTATTGGACATCAACTTTAATATTACGTAAGCACGCTGAATACAATTTAAAACCTGTTTCTCGAACCTCATTGAATTATCAAAAATAGCTCCTAAATTTTTAACATTATTTTTCATTTGTAAGGTACCGTGCGTTCAATTTATCTCGATAACTAATTGGCTATAACTTTTTTATTTTTAGAGATGTCTAGGTAAACAAAAAAATAAAATGCAGGGTTAGTAGCCAAGTTTTTCTCCAAGTGACGTCTAAAACAAAACTCTATCAATTTTCTGACATATCATCCAGCAAGTGTGTTTAATAGAATATTTGAATCCGATTACACTTCATATTTTAGTTCACTCGTTTTTGACAAATCGGTAAAAATTGGAATTTTTTATATAATTTCAAATAATGCCCTAACTGAAAAATAAAAATATGTTTTTGTTTGACATATGAGTAAATGACGTTGATGGTTGAATTATTGTCAAAGTCATTATTGTTGAAATGGTTTTTGGCGAATTTAGCATACGTCAAAATAATGATATGCTTCCAATATACTTTCTGATATTTCCAAAGCTGGCAAAAAATTTGCCGAAAACGGTAACTTATTAAATGCTAAAAAGGGATGCCGGAATCATAATGTTTTAAATGAAGAATATAAGGCAAACAAATTAGGATTCTATGAAGCACATCCAGTTTCCTCTATTATAGAGTATTTCTCGGGGATTAATCCACTCAGTTTTGAAAGAATATAAATATAACGCATTTAAATTTCGTAAAACTCAAAAACTAAGTGCAGAACAATGTCAAAGGAGGATGCAGTTTTGTTTGGATTTTTTAAATAGACATGATGAGAATAATAATTTTTTGAAAAACATTTTATGGACTGATGAAAGTTCCTTCACTACAAGCAAGGCTTGTAATAGACAAAATACGCCATATTGGTCTTTAAATACTCCTAGACAAATACACGAAATAAAAACTCAGTGGTACCAATCAGCAAGAAGGTGTCCCTCGTCACAATGTTGTGCAAGTTAAAAATTTTCTTAACATGGAATATCCCAGGGGTTGGATGGGGAACGGCGGAACTATGAATTGGCCAGCCAACAGCCCCGACTTAACCTTAATGGTTTTTTTCTTTTGGGGACACATAAAAAAATCACGTGCACAGAACACCTTGGAATAATGCTTGCCTGCAAGTTATGGTACGTGTTTCATAGGAAAATCGATATTTCCTGCTACTAAATGACTGACTTTTAAAATCGGTCATACATACAAACTTGCCTAATTTACTTTCTTATTCCTTCCGTAACAAAATTTTAAAACGAGCGAGAGAAAACCAAACCAAAACTAACCAATGAACTCGCTTTATCCTGCAACTTGTTTCTTACAGCTGCGAGAACAAGCGAAATATCAATTGTGCTGGAAAAAAAATTAATATCTCCACTTGGAAGGTTTGTAATACCTCTTATCCTGCCAATTTTTCCATTGGTAGTAGGTATTAGGTTCTCCTAGCACTTATACTTCTTTCATTTCTAATAACAATGTTCACTCTAGTTGCAAACGTTCTAAAAAGTACGTTCAAGCCAGTCATCAATTACCTAGTTCACAGCGACTGAATGAGCAATCACTTCCCCTAACTTTTGCTTTGCTGCCACATATTCCAGTTTCCTCCGAAACAGTTGAGAGTAAATCTTTCATGTCGTACTGTATGGCTTTAGTAAGCGAAGCTTGTCGGTTATGTGTTATTTGACTATTTGTCTTCGCTGGTAAATTGACGGGCTTGAAAGCGGCAAATCCGTCGACATATGAAAAGTTCTACCGATTTTGTATCCGATCATGCACTCTTGCTTTGTCATACCTATTGTTTTTTTTTTGTTAAATTTAAAGTCTTTTTGAAAATTTCTTTCTTTATTTTACACATTTAAAAATACCTATACAATAAAATATCAACGTATTATCATAAAGAAAAGCCAAAAATAACAATTCAAGATGTATATCTATTTAGTGTTTTTCAATGACACAATTGAATGTTATAAACAGAATTTTTGTACAAAACATGCTCCAAAAATATGTAAAAACGGAAATTTCCTGTATTAATAATGTTTTTTAACATTTAATGACTCTTTTTATTGATTTTGGTTTTGTTGCAATATACATCAACTCTTACGTCTCTAATTCAATATTTTCAATTTTGAAAACTAACCATCTAACCAAAACTGACCGGAACTTCTTTGTTAATGTTGGAAAAAGTCATCGAAAATTGGACGTCCAGATTGGACTACATCCGCGCCAGCCGTGGCGGTCATATGCCAGAAATCATATTTAAAATGTAATGCCACAAGATTATCTTTCGGATAAATAAAATTCATGTCAATCGAATAATAAACACCCCTTATTTTCTCCCCATATTTTCCAAATTTCAATGAAAATATTTTTATTAAAACTCTAGTTTTGCGAAAACGTACTCGTCGGTCTAATTACACAGATATTCAGACTAGTGAAAAGCTGCTTATAATGGTCAAAGTTTTTCTTATTTAATTCAAAAACCGATTTAAGGCAATACCCTTCGAGAAGCGTTCGAAGAAGAATTCTTTGTCCTATTAGTTACACATCTTACACCTTAATTGCATGTCGTACCATTTCATTCCTTAATCGTTCAGGTACAAAATTAAAAGTCAAAACCAACTGCTTATTAGTCCCGAGGTTATATTGGCAACTTAATTAATTATCGCGCAGGCATTTAAGTAGGGCTGTATTAAAAGCGATTGGGGTGATTCGTCTGGTTAAATTAGTCGTTTTAGGGTAGAGTTATTCACAGTTTTTGTCTTTGTTTCAGGATAATGAAACAGCGTAGGAGAAAATGGTGCTTAATGAAACGATTTTGTCGGTAAGTGTAAACATTATTGCCGTACCACTTTAAATTTCCGATTGCAAAATCTCGTGCGTGCATTGAAATCCAATGAAAGGCCTTTTTAAAAAAATATATTTAGTGTAATTATCTGAACGTATTTTGAAGTGTATTTCGGGGATTATCTTTACAAAATCCACATGTTCATTAAATTTCGTCCGACTGTACGTATTAAAATCATATCGTTAAATGAATGCCGGAAAACGTATTAACTGATGCACGTTTATGGAATTCGCTCACGCAAAATGTTTATGACCGATAATTAAAATAAAATCAAATCACACATATTCTCTATTGAATAAACTAAAATTTGATGACGGAAATATCGAAATTTAATTGGCGTTTTTTTTTTGCCCCGCATGACCACTAAACTTAATGCCAGGTGGTAATAAAATGCCTCTGGTAATTAATTAAATTCAAATTTCAATTTATTTCTCAATTTTGACTTAAGATATTTGCCAAAAATACATTTTAGTGCCTGGAATATCAGATTTTACTGATTTGTAAGTTGCTCCAGGACATTTTCGTTTTTTAATTCAGTTGTATACGTCTACGTAAGAATAAGATAACAGGAAGACAACTCTACATAAACCAAATTAACATAGAAAGAGTAAAACAGTACAACTACCTTGGTACTATTATAAATGAAGAATGGACCAGCAATCAAGAAATCAGAGCACGAATTGCAAAAGCCACATTCAACCGAATGAGTGCGTTCTTTAAGAGCCACAACTTATCTCTCGAGACCAAAATAAGAATTTTGCAGTGCTACGTCTTTTCCATCTTCTTCTATGGTGTAGAATCATGGACCGTAAATGAAGATATGTGTAGCAAGTTAGAAGCATTCGAAATGTGCCTATATAGGCGAATATTAAAAATCCCGTGGACTGATCGTGTTACTAATGAAGAAGTACTTCGACGAATGAAAAAAAATCTTGAAATAATTAACACTATCAAAATACGCAAGCTACAGTACTTCGGTCACATAATGCGAAACGAACCAAGATACACCTTGCTTCAATCTATGTTGCAGGGAAAAATTTTTGGAAAAAGAGGCCCAGGAAGAAGACGAACGTCCTGTTTGAAGAATCTCAGATCCTGGTTTAATAAGACAACATTACAACTTTTCCGTATTGCTGCTGACAAGATAAAAATTGCCGTGATGATCGCCAACATCCGAATAGGCACTTTAAGAAGAAGAAGATACGTCTACCACTTTTTTTAGTGATCCAGTTTAATTTTGCATTAATTTGTCTGATCCTTCTAACTCCAACTGTCCAAGTTGCGTGGAACAACAGAGTACTGGCACCGTCTTTCGTGGTGTTTAGCCAGTTTTCTGGACAGAACAAGCCTGGAACGTATTTTATTTCTCAGTAGGATTTTGCCATTATTTTTAATCCTACAATCTGTTTGCTCAGTATATATGCTATTCCAGAAACAATCACCTATTAGACCGCAAAGTACAAAAATTTTACTATTCTGTTTTAAGTGAAACAGACAAGCAATTTTCCTTGAACGGGATAAAATTGTTGGATCAACGGATTGGAAGAATGTTTTCAGGGCAAGCAAATGCAATGTCATTTTGCCATGTTTTCCTTATCTAAAGACGTCTATACATACTGAAAATACTGAAAGTAGACGTAATGAACAAATAATTCAATTAAAAAAAAGATTGGGTATATGGAATGGAAAACAAGAAAACAAAAAAAATACACTGAGAAAAAAGTTATGACCATTTGTAGCGAAGTGCATTGTAAACCGCCCTCTAACGGCAATAGTGGAAGGGTTTCGGGTTCTTAAAAATATATATAAAATTTAAAAAAAATCATACTCAGATTTTGATACAGACCTTTTAGAGACACCTAACGTTCTTCCTGTTAGATGGGCGGGTGGTCGATTCTTCAAAATTACGTATTTTAAGTAAATACAGGGTGCGCAAAAAGACGAACAACAATAATAGCTCAGAAAAAAATATAAAGCAATTATAGATAAGTACAAACAGACATTTTAGTGTGGCATATTTTCGGGTGCTTCAATGTTATGCCAACTTTTCCACACGTTCTGTATTTGCGAACAACGTCTACTATATCCCCTAAATCGCGTGAAACTAAAAATTGCTCTTAAATATTTTAATTGCTAATTCCCAGCACTACGTAATTACAATCGCTACGATTTACGTCATTTTGTTTCCTCGCCATTAAAACGCGAAAACCGACGCCGCAAAAGAAATAAAATGACGAACGATTAGCCTCACGATATTTCTGGAAAGCAACGTTTTTGAATAAGTTAACTCTCGTGATATAATTTAGCGCCCGTGTAACTGAAAAGATGCATTAGGGGGCAATTCTAGGATTAAAAAAAACAAACTTCATAATTACGTAAATGGAAATGGCACCTCTGTCTATGTACTGGCAATTCCGTTTCCATTTTTCATTACCCTTATGCGAGCGAACAATCGGATCCTCCTCGGCCATTTTATGTTTTTATTCGATAATAATTAATTCGTTTAACCGCCTAGTCAGCTTAAAACGTAAAACGGGAAAGTTTTCAACTTCAATCTACGTTTCCCGTTCCTCTTCGTTTTGGAATCGTGCACGAACAATTTCCAATTAACCCTTCCAAATAATCTCTCCCCCGTCTAATTACCGTTATCCCGCTAATTACTTCAAGGCAATGAGCTTAAATTGACTCGTGTAGACATGGGAAAACCCCTCGATATTAACGAATGTTAAATCTGGGCTCTGCGTCAGATTTTTATTTCCATCCTCGCTAAGAATCTCCGGGGGTGTTAAAACAGACCCGCGCCACGTGACCATGCTCGGTATCACCTCATTTATCATTCTCAACTCTTTCCTTATCAATGGCTTTAATTAACTGTGTTATTAATTCGAATTACTTTAGTTCGGGGCTGATCGGGGGCTGTCACTGGAACCGTTCCTTCGAATCAACGTTGAAAAATTAACTAAAGCCCTTTTTAATGGTGTTTAAAGCTCTATAAGGGCAGTAACCCTTTTTTTGAGATACCATGCCTGTCGGGATTTTCTAGCGTACGTTTTTTTAAAGATATTTTTTGCTATTAATGGATATATATATATTTTTTAATTATACACACTAATGACATAAATGACGATGATCTCGTGGCGTTCATCAAGTCATATCTGCAATACAGACTCCAGTATGTCACTCATCGCTTAGGTTCATGGATAGTAGCGGCGTTCCCCGGGGTAACTTTTGTAATTGGGCGTGCTATGTGCCTAACATATGTTCACAGTTTCAGTCACTTTGCATGTTTAATTTTTTTTGTGAAAGAAGAGTGCTAGAAGTATTTTGTGTGCTCGGCGATTTTCTGTTGTAAAAAAAAATGGAACAAAGAATTTGCATAAAATTTTGTGTAAAAAATGGAATACAGTGCTGCAAAAAACAGTTGAAATGTTGACAACGGCATATGGTGGATCTACTTTGAACAAAAACAAGATTTATAAATGTTGCAAGATGTTCCAAGATGGCCGAGAAGACGCCTATGAACCTCGACCCAGCACGTCAATAACTGATGAAAGCGTTGAAGAAGTGAAACAAATGGTATTGAAAAATCGTTGAATCACTATTAGAGAAGTGACTGAAGACGTCGGCATCTCTTTTGGCTCCTGCCATACATTTTTTTCCCAAAGTTTTTGGCATCAAACGTGTAGCAGCAAAATTTGTTCCGAAACTGCCTAATTTTAAACAAAAGGACCGTCAAAGGAGCGTCGCTCAAGGCTGTTAATCGACGTCAATGATGATCCTAATATGCTTACAATGGTCATAACTGCTCAGGAATCATGGGTATATGGTTATGATGTCGAAACTAAAGCCCAATCGTCCCAATGGAAGAGTCCAGAATCACCTGAACCGAAAAAAGTAGGTTAAGTTCAATCCAACGTCAATGTTTTGCTTACTGTTTTCTTTGATTATCGGGGCTAACCACAAGTAACCAAAACAATTCATGCATTTTGCATAACGATAATGGTCCTGCTCACTCATCCTTGCTTGTTTCTAACTTTTTTGCCAAAAACAAAACCACAATCATGCCTCAGCCACCATATTCACCAGATATGGCCCCTGCGACTATTTTCTGTTCCCAAAACTCAAGAAACCCATGAAAAGAAGGAGGATTGGAGCGACTGAGGAGATAAAATACCAGAAAGTGCTTACCAGAAGTACGTTGACACAAGTGTATTATATCTGGGGGGATTACTTTTGATAAATAAATACTTTTTGATAAGATTTAAAAGTCACCCTACTTTTAGAACACACCTCGTATATAGAGATAATTTCACTAGCTGGGAATTTAATTAAAAGTTTTTCACGTTTCTCTTGCTTAAATTATGCACCATATTTCCGGGATAACGATCGGAACTTATTCCCCGAAAATTATTTTTTTCATATACAATTTCACATAATGCGTGTTCATCCCTCTGTATCAAATGCATAATGGGTCGGCAACTCTGTCTGCCTGTTCGCGTGAAGCTGCACAGACATTTTTCCGATCTAGTAGTTCAGCCCATTTATCTTGGTTTGTTATATTTCCCAACGTTTTATTTACTTTTCCGGTCAGAATTTCTACCTAATGCATCTATAATATCATTTGTCTTAGGCCGACGCGCTCCCTTACACTCTCTATGCAGAATAAGGCATAAAGTTTCGAACGATTTATCAAAATCAACGAGATATTCGACGCAATCATCTGGTTTGCCTTGATGCTTTTTTTACGAGGGGTTATGGCGATTTTCCTATTTCGTTTTCAAAACGAACGAAAATTTAAGCTCCAGCTGCCAACAGTACATATTTTACTTTCCTATTACCGACAAAAGAACAAAATTTTATTTAGATATTCTCACTTAGTTTACATTCATTATTTTTTTAAAATCAATCCTCTACCAATAATAATAATAATAATAATAATAATAGTAATAGTAATAATAATAACAGTAATAATAATA